TGCTACCTGAGTCTCAGCAAACTTCTAAAGGCGTTTGGCGTATCTGTTTTGAGGTCAAAATTGCAACATGGGCAGATTAGACCACATCCAGGGTTACTGTGCACCCTGGGCGGAAATTTGGGTGGCATTAAAACGGGGGCTTTCATATATTGCTCGCGTATGACATGCTAATAGCACGCTGACACCCAGAGGAGGGGAGAGAGAGAGAGAGAGAGGGGGGGGGAGAGGGAGAAAGGAAGGAAGAAAGAGAGAGGGGGAGAGAGGGGAAGGGGAGATAAAATCGCTGTGAGGTTCAGAATTAGATGCAGTATTCATTAGATTTGTTGCAGCCTTCTAATGACGAAAAGATCCATACAGATTATTAAAGTAAACCAATCTAATCTTAAATATTATCAGGGCACTGATGTCATGTGTGGCCATCCGCCTAGTATGATAGAGATAAAAGCTGTACTTTCTGGTAACCAACACATGCATTGTGCCTTTTCATTGCGTGGACTGTCACGAACGGGAACAGTCGAAGCGAGGAGAAAGGGAGGACGACGGCAGTTGGGCAGAAAAAACGAACACTAATCCTACAGAGTCGCACGGAAAGGAGGTAAAATTAGTTGCGACTTGTTCAGGCTTCAGGACCGAGGGTCACGAAGCCACATAACCCTCGTCATTTGTTTCTGTTGAGAACCGAGCACGTCTACAACGGTCCGTCAATTTCCTGCTTTCGATGTTTCTTTAAGTCCCTGTCGAAAGTTACAAAGCGCTATATAATTGCTTCTGTGATCGTCCTATCTTTTTGAAGCTTTGCATTAACAGGTACATGGATCATGTGTTTTTGGTCCCCTGAGGACTTTGCAAAACAATGCAATGAGCAGTTCAGCTTCAAATGCTGTTTTTAGCACCATCATTGCTCGAAAAGAGGTAAGGGAACCGCGGTGCAAAATTAAAAACGTTTAAAACTTTGGCGGACTCGCACAGATGGATGTTCCCACGCTGCGGTCAGCGCTGGCGTGCGCGTGGTCACGACTGTTCAGTTATATTTGATTACGCGCACACACACACACACACACACACACACACACACACACACACACACACACACACACACCACACACACCACACACACACACACACACATACATATATATATATATATATATATATGCACATATATATATATATATATATATATATATATATATATATATATATATATATATCCAGGGTCTTGCTGTGCGAAGGAGTCAATGGGAACCAGGAAGGCATATTGGGAACCAATCACATCTTGACTGGAGATAACAATTACCACGACTGGCGGCGGGCCTCTCCCACTGCGGCCTGGCATAGCAGTCTGGCCCCTATTTCATAAGGTACTATGCATGACAATTATGAAGCTGGGACAGACGTCATTAGAAGTTATTGACTCCGTTTTCAGACGATAATCGGTAGTTATTGACTCCGCTCTTGACCGATGATGCCGTTTAAGGGTATGTTGTCTATGCACCCCCCTAGGATTAGCGATTGATTTTTGGCAAAAGTGGGTGTACCATCACCCACCAGGTCCTTGCTATTACGGCTGGGCTGGACATGATTCGTACATGTATGTCAAAACAGGACTACTGGCAAACGAAAATGCTCTCGGAATATCTAACAGACCCACACTTCGAGCCCTAAGGCACCACCCTGGAGCACTTACAAACCCACTCTGGGGCACTTACAACTTCAGTCCAAATCTCTGGGTAAAAATTGAAATGCTAAAATTTAGAAAAGGGTAAAAAATGTGAATTTGTGATTTAAACATGGGTGTACAAATGCATGCATGCGTGCGTGCACAAATGCACACAAAGACATAAAAACAAATTTACAAAGATGCGTACGCATATCATTAAACTTCAAAAAATGAACCAGCATCTAAATTTGAACGAATCAAACCACCCACCGGCTATGGAGCTTGAGTTGAACCAACAAAACCTGTCCCCGCTGTAGGACAGACGAATTTGAAAACTTGTATTTTGTATTGTGAGCTCCTCCGCTGAAAACAAACGACCTTCGATATTCAACAACTTATAAAGATATATTAAGATACAGTGCTCCAAGTTTCAAGGCAATGCCCATGGTAGCAAACATCATAGTTAGTCAGGATTCAGTCAGGATTCATGTCAGATCAGTCAGATCAAAGTCAGGATTCATGACCATGACTCCCGCCATGAAATGTTGAGTATTCTCACAGTATGTCCTTATGATTGCATGCTGTGTGATGGTGACATTCAGTGCAACACGAGGCAATGGTAGAACAAACACGTCAGTTGTGTTCAGCATGATAATTATTTGTGGCGAAAAACCAGTAATTCAAGGTCTTTCTTACTTAGTGAAAGTAAATCTTGAAACTGCTCGATGAATAACCAGCCCCGACAATTTATTTGGCAAAGGTGCGAGTTGAATTTAAGAAATCAAGAACGGCATTGCAAGGTCACGACTAACGATTCGAGGTGGTGTCATTTCAACACTTGTTTGATTCGTCACGCTATGCTTGCTCAGCTCACTCCCACAGACGGGCAAAGACAACAATTACTAGCAGCACTTTCTGTGTGCATGCGCCTAGTAAATCACGTTTGTTGTCCAATGTATTAGTGCATCATGCAAGCACTCACGAGCTAAGAGAGATAGAGAGAGAGATAGAGAGAGAGAGAGAGAGAGGGAGAGAGAGAGGAGAGGAGAGAGAGAGAGAGAGAGAGAGAGAGAAGAGAGAGGAGAGAGAGAGAAGAGAGAGAGAGAGAGAGAGAGAGAGAGAGAAGAGGAGAGAGACAGAGAGACAGACAGACGACAGACAGACAGAAAGAGACAGACAGACAGACAACAGAGAGAGGACAGAGACAGACAGAAGAGGAGAGAGAGAGAGAGAGGGGGAAGGGAGAACGAGAGGTGTTTAACCGACTGAAGGCTGGTCTACAGAGTTCTAGGGTTCTATCAGTCGCGGCCTGCGGATTATGCCATTGATTGGACTGAAGTGGGTCAGGAAATGTCCAAAAGACGGGCTCGAGAACAGATCAGCCTAAACAGTACGTCATAAAATGGGCCGGTGAAGGACTTACGACTTCAAAAAAGTCAATTTAAGAAGAGCAAATGTGCTTACGTGTGCTTGTACTTGGCGTTTAAGCGAGATCAGCTTAAATTGTAGTGAATTATCGTGAATGCTGTACAATGCCAGCCCGGACCGGACTGGATTTACGAACAAGGAGATTGTTGGCAGGCTGAATTTAGAACCGGTAGATTGCATTGAGCCACACGTGGTTATGCTAGCATCCGTCGATGTTAGTTAAACCAAGCTGCAGGGGGATGGTGGGCGGACGCCGGAGCTAAAGGTGGCGAATAGGACAAATGCAAGGATGATACGGTTTTTGGATAATTTGGTTTGCTTGAATATAGCTGCGTTGAATGTATATATGACGCACATCACTTGATCTCGAAGGGCGATAGCTGTCACGTTGATGACGTCTAGTTTGAGCCCGCCCCCTTCCCCCTCCTCCCCCCCCCCCCGCACACCGCACCATTCAGCCGCATGTCGTCTCACCTTGAAACTAACGACGTAGACCATGCTTTCATCGCTGGACACGAGGCGAGTAAAGTACGCGCCACAGGTGCCCTCGCCCCTGGTGTTGTAGCCCACATTGATGCGTTGCAAGGAGAAGACAAGACAAACTTCCTGTTTATGCGTGTCACTGTCTTGGAGCGCATTGAGCCAGCCGGGCCTCGACTGGCAGTACAGTTACGAGATCCTACTCTTTGGCGCCGTGTTGTAGGGCGCCTTTCTCTCTTCTGAGGCAGTCCCTGGAGACGACTCAGTTGCATCGCTCCCCATTGAAACGCTATGACTTTGTTTCATGTTTTATTTTCGAGCTTCCAGGAACCGTATCACATTTGAACACTACAGCGTTACAACGTTAGTGTGGGTGAGGTGGGCACACGCCTCTGAAGACGTGCTTCAACGCGGCAAAAATTATCCGACAAAAACAAACCTTTCTCGGATCACGGATACACTCACATTAACGGCCAGAGAATTTGTGGCCAGTGGCAAGAATCCCACAGAATAGGGGATGGCTCGCCCAAAACAGGGAATACATTTATATCATCATGAAGTATAATGGCCACGTGGTATTGACAATATATATCTTTGGTTTCTACAAGGACATCCAACAGCAAGACACTGTGCATATTTACAGGTTTTACGAAATACGTTTTCTACAGCAGCGTTTAGTCTGAACATAGCTTTTTTTGCTTCTAGAAGTCTTATTAACAACAATGTGGGCACGGTACGCCCCCAAAGATCTTCCTGAATAAAATAATAAAGATGATTAAACAACCTAAACGGCCCGATACACGTCACCAAACAGAGACAGCAGACAAGTACGTCAACCCAAAATGGCCGCTTCTTAGCGCTTGGAAATTTGTCAGGCCATGACAAACGCGAACTACCCGACAGCATACGTCGAACACCAGCCAGACAGCTATCATCACGCATAAACAATGCAAGGAACGCATTTGCAATAAATATCAGCCCGATTAAGCAGACTATGGAGTGCACATGCCTTCAGTAAGATTCGTTTGACTGGCGCGCGCCGTAGCTTACACGTCCCGGCGCGTAGGCGATTCAATGTATTTTTCTTGTATCTTCGTATGGATACGCGTGGGTATGTATGCAAGAGGTCCGGGGCCAGCCGTGTTCGCCGCCGGTAGTTTTTGTGCGCCCCGTCCCCGCGCGGCGCTGAGGCAGTCGGGAGACGCGCGTGGCGGCGCACGCCGCGGCCGTGCCGGCCACGGCCCGGCCCGTCTACGGCCGCGCGTGCCACTACCGGCACGCCACGGCCCACCTGCGAGACACGCGGATGAGATGAACATAACGTACCCTGTAAACACTTGATGGAAATCCTATCTATATTGCAGCAGCGAGGGCGGGCGCCGGCGCAGTCGGCGGCTATCACACGGCGCCGCGGCGGCCGGAGGGCTCATTCTCAGTCGCCGGTCGGCCGGTGCAGTCCGTTCACCATGTTCTCGATGTTCTTCAGCTGCGAGGCGACCGTGGCGCCGTGTGCCGGCTGCGGCGTGCCGGGCGACGAGGAGCCGGCGCGCGCCCGCGTCACCGTCTCGAAGGCGGACGGGCCGCCGGCGGCCAGCTGGGAGGCGGCCGCCAGCGGCGAGCTGGCCGTGCTCGTGGTCGTGGTCAGCGGTGCGCTGTACGGCGAGAAGCGCGCCGCCTTCAGCCGCTCGGCGTGCACGGCGCCCGGCGGCGAGCCGGCGCCCAGGCCGGCCAGGCCCGCTACCCGCGCGAACAACGAGTGCCCCGAGGCGGCCAGCGCCAGGTGCGCGTTGAACAGCAGGTTGGGGTTGAGCTGCGCCGCGCCCAGGTACGAGCCGGCCGTGGAAGTGAGCGGCGATGAGGCCGAGCCGAGCAGGTTGAGCGGGAGCGACGTCTGGGCGGCGGCGGCGGCGGCGGCGGCTGCCGCGGCTGCCGCGTTCTGCTGCAGCAGGTGGCCGAGCCCCGGCAGACCCATGCTTGGGTGCGGGTAGAGGCCGGGCGAGTACAGGTAGGGCAGCAGGTGCGGCGGCTGCATGGGCGGCCCGACCGACACGTTCGGGTGCGTGCTCGGCTGGCGCTCATCGTCCGAGGTGCGCGGCCCTTCCGAGCGCACGCTCCGGAACGCGCTGCCGCACTCGGCGTCACTGCCGTCCCGTTCACTGTCACTGTCGCGCTCACTGTCCGCCCGCCGTCGCTCCGGCTCCGGCTCCGGCTCCGGCTCCGGCTCCGGTTCCGGCTCTGGCTCAGGCTCCGGCTCCGGCTCCGGCTCCCGCTCGGCCGTCAGCGACCGCTTCTTGCTGGGGCTGTCGTCGTAGGGTCGGAACGAGAGCGGCGGCGGCCGCTCGGGTTTGACCTCCTCCTTGGCCTCTGTGGGGGAGCGCGGCGCGTGAGACGGGGGAAGTGCGCATCACAAAGGAGCCGGCACACTGTACACGCCCGCCTACGGCGCATTCTCCTCACAAAACTGGTTTCTGGGCCCGCTCGAGGCCCTCGGAGACGACAACTTGTTTTTTTAGGATCCAGGTGCTCTTCACGAGCGAGACCACACACCGGCGCTGGTTCCTGTCGTGTTGGGTCATCTCTCTAGCTAATGACGACATATTACTGGTAAGGGTAGTCTAACTTACGATGCTAATGGCTAATTTCATTCCGCAATCTTAGGCGATATCAAATGATAGCGCACGACAGGCATGGAAACACTCTCAAGTCCACTCCGGCTATTTCCTGATTGACATGGACAAATTATGATGTGAAGTACATAATATGCTGGATGTAATGAGCTGTAGGTATGCATGGAAAAATTTTCTCGTAGAGGCTGGCAGGCCGTCAGAACTCATTAGTATTTATATTCGTGAATTAATCGCGTTTATACAATCTGGAGCTCGATCTAATGGCGGTAACTGTTACTTATATGCTTACGAAACACGCGCTGCACTCTTGCCACTTACTACACTATCATCCCGGTAGCAGGTACTTTGCATGCCTCTTGCATGCTACCTGGACATGTTAATGGCGCATTTGCAGCGCTAACATGCAATTGTATCGATGTGTACGGCAAACTATTGGCGCATTATCTCGCACTATTTTCATCCACCGGGCCTCCGACTCTCACTCCTCCCCGTCCCCAGCCAGCCGTCGGCCATCGACTCTCTCCCACTCGCGATAGCCGCCTCCGCCGTCAACACACCCACCTTGCTTGATGAGTGGCGTGTCTGGCCGGGGCGGGCTGCCGGGCGCCGGCGGCAGCGTCGGCAGCGTTGGCAGCGGTGGAGGCGCCGGCGAAGCGCGGTCGCCGACGACGTCGAGCATGCGCTCCTCGTCGTCGTCCTCCGGCTCGTCGGAGGAGCGCGCCTGGTCGCTGGCCAGGTGGCCGGCCTCGTCGCCGCCGCCGCCCCCGCCCGGTGACGTCAGCGAGTTGGGCCTTCTGCGGGGGACCGCCGAGTTAGTGGCTGGCTGCGGATGGGTCTAGGATTCGGTCGCGCCGCTTGCAGGGGCTCTTGGAGAAGCACGTTGACCAGTTTATATGATCGGTGTGTTATTTGAGTGGCGAGACAGGCGTCTTTGATTATCATCTCAACGGAAAATCGCAAGGAGACGAAGGGCAAGAACTCCATTGAGGCTCTCAAACTCAAGGATTTTTCAAATATAAAAGCACCAATAGTGTGTTCACTTTTGACCCAAATCATCCAGCCTGTCGGGGTATATATCGATCGCTATATCGAGCGTGATTTCAGTCAGTACATCAATCGCGCAGGGTGACAAGGTAATGACGAACTGAAGGATTAGGGTAGCCCGTGAATCCTCTAGCGGTCCCTCATTATCCGGCGATATTGTCTGCGTTTTACGCCAGATAACGCCGCGCACATCCATCACGACGACAAAGTAACTGTCCCGACGCTCCTCCGGCCACTTTGTCAGCGCGCACGACGCTGCTCCGAACACTTCCCGGCCGCTGTGCTGTGGGACGCTGGTGCCAGCTGACTCCCGGTCCCACGCGCCGGCCGGCGGCCTTTGAACCGAGTGCTACTCGCTGCTCTACGGCACTAATCGCCTTTGAGAACGTCTCGACAAACCGCGGCGATCGGATTTCCTCGGTGGAAGTCGCATGCATCGTGCTGCACGGTGCAAATCATGACACGGGTGGAGGCAGGCTGTGAGGTTAGCTCTGAAGTCACACTCGCTGGATTTACACACAGACGGGCTGTGAGCCGGCGGATCGACGAACTCTGGACTGGCGGCGCAAGAAGCGCCGACTGCGGACCGCGGCCTGCGTGATGCGACACAACAGGCGGACAGACGGCAGGCACCGGGATCAGGCTGCAAACCGCCGAACTGCAGATTTATGAAAAGTTCAGTGCCCACTGAGCACGCCATGAATATGATCGCAAGAAAGCGACGCTGCAGATCTCCGCAGACGCTGACGCAAACTCGGCAAAGTTCGTAAAGCTGTCACGCTTCTCGCCGTCAGCCTAGCATCGTTTCTGATGCGTTTCCTGATTGGGTGTTTGCCTGTCC